GCAGCTGCAGCAGCGTCTGCAGAGGCTGCGACTCTCCATCCGCCGCAGGAGGCAGCGCTTGTTACTCCATGCGCAACACAGTCCACAGTGTTTGCCCAGCCCCTCCAAGGTCTCTGCGAGGTCCAGAGGCCACGCACAGATGCCAGAAGAGCTGGCACCCAGCCCTCATTTGCTTTCCAAGTTATAGCAGTGGACATCTCCTTTTCCCTTCCCATCATACCCAGGAAGTGGCTGTCCGTATTTATCCACGCACCAGCAGTAACCTCTCTTTCGGCCTTTGGATGGGCGACACTGGAACAGAATAAAAGACCCAGTTAGCATTATTTTTGTTTTCTCCGCTCTTAGTGTTATATAGCAGGGATTCCTGCTCATTTGACAGCCGCACTTCCGTATCCTGGCCATATCTGACAGAATCAAACAGAATATTTATTACCACTACAAAGTGTCACAATAAAAGCTTACCTGCTCTGCCTGTCAACCCCTTTGGGTCTAATTAACTCCATAATAAAACTGCTCTGAGAGCCACCAGAAAAAAAGCCTTATGAACTACTCCCTATTATATTAGGCAGCACAGTTGACCCCTTTGAATACCAGGACTACTTGTAACAGTACAGGCTGACGACTGGGACCCATCTTTGGAAAAGGAAATTAACAGATTTGTTCTACACCAAAGCACAGGTCCGGCAAAGACAGCCATTGCAGCAATAAACACCCTTGGCTTGCATCTGTCTGCTGGAGGAATTTCAATACTGTAGTTGACATTTATTAACAGATACATAATCCTTCTGTAATGGAGTTATCACTTCAACAACTGCTAAGTGTACTAGAACTTTACATGTATATTTTCCTATAAATAAGGTTGCTTATATACTAGTCTATAACCTATGTCAGCTTTAGAAGTTGTCTGGTGGAATTTGCCAGCAATGCTGACCAACCTGAAACTACCACTAGACGGGCAACGACACTGAACTTCTTTAGAAACAGTAATGCAGTAAAAATTCATTATAAAGTCTAGTACATACTAAGTAAGTAATGCTCTCCCCAAGGAACCAAGAATGGCAAAAACTAGACTAAAGGAGATGACATGCTGCACATTGCATTCAATATGCAACCCTGGACACAGTTACATACTGTGAACCTCTGGGACCCTGCAAGGTTTTCACCCAATCAAAAGACATGTGTCTCCAGGACACTGATTATCTCACTAGGTTTGCCACGGTCAACCTCATTGCCAAGACATAGCCTCCATGTCAGCTCAAGTTTTGAGATTTGGTGATACAGGACTCACTGTATCACAAAAAGGTGATAATGCTAACGCTAACAGAGGTGGCTCTTCAGTCAGGACACTTACAAAGAAGGCGGTGACACAAACATACTTAGCTTTTCAAAGACTGAGGTTTCATCTGTTGCATTGCCAACATGAAGGAAGTTAGGCTAGACTGAAGCCACTTACGGCCCTCAACACTGTGAAGGCTATCTTGCAAGCAGAGCAAATGCTGCCTCCGAGATCACACTCACAGCAATTCATTTCAGAGGTTCAGACTGGTACAAGTCAGGTAAACTTCGCCGCTACCGCTCAACTACTTCTCCAGAGTCTAATAGGCGTGTCCCCATCTCCCATGTGGGTATGGCAGTGGCTCACTAAGCTAAGTGTCTTTTCCATGTGCAGGTATGAAAGGAAACATCAAGCAAGTGTTGGGCTTCACATGCTGCCCAAAGTGCCTTCCACATCTAGTTTAGGACCTCAGGCGAAAGGGTGGTATTTCGGACAGAACTGTGAATATGGGTCACTCCTGGGACAGCCTGCACCAGCACATTGGCCCCTAAGCCAACTAATTTGTGGCAGCATGGAGTAGGGTAGACAGTCTTCACTGAGAACTTGCGAAAGAGAGGTGGGAGCAGATCATACATTAGACACGAATTTCTGAATAAGTTTCCATCTTGTTTATTTTATTTTAGAGTAAATGAAGTAATGTTAATCACCGTAACTGCCAATTAATCTACCCTTGTGATATATTTTTGAGTAACAAGCCCAATGCAGAAATAATACAATGCGTTCTCTTCTCTGAATTTGCAGTCCTTCTGTATTAGCCCTATGCAAATGGACGGCAGCAGGATGACAAGATTAAGCTTAAAGTACATATCAGCTTATTTTAGGAGATAGTGAAGAAGTTCAAACCTACTGAGAGAACAGCTACATTAATAATTTGCTAAACTACGTGGTTAGCTGCATTTGAGTTCTAGTTACCTGTTCAGCTGGTTTTCGTACTAGATCTTTAAACGTAAGTTACGTTTATTGTCTCAAAAGCGTGACTAGGGCTTGCGTGTATTCTCCAGGATTTCCATGAATGGCTGCTCAAAGTCCACTGATGTCAATGGGAAATTTTCCTTCATTTTTGGTGGCAACGGGACTGGCCTCTAGCTTAAGTAGTATTAACATTTAGTGACTTAAATTCTTCATGCTCAAAACTGAGGAATTCATAAACAACAGCCTTTGCACAATTTAAATTTTACAGAAAAGGAAACTGAGGCAGCAGTTCTTGAGTTGTTTTTCCCAAAACAGCAGGCACAGATGGAACCCGAATTAGAGCACAGGTCTTCTGGCTGCCAGCCTGGTGCTCCGGCAATGAAACTACACTTCTGCTAATAATAGTAACACAGCCTCCTCTTTTAGAAGTACTATATGAAGTATGTTACACAACTCTTGCTGATTCATAGGCTTGCATCACTCTCAAAACAAATGATCAATTAAAGTTATCTCATGTTGTTGGAGGTTTTGATTGCTTTTTACAGTTGCATAATCAATTTTTGGAATTAACTACAACATGAAGTTAGTCTGCAGGAGCACCTTCCCTACTACTAATATTTTTTTATTTCTTCTAGACAACCCATTTGGAAAACGAAACCCTTAGATTATTCCACAGCTGAAATAACGCCCTGTGAGGAAACGATTTACCTTTTCCAATATGCGATTTTGTACTACCCGCTCAGCCACGCTGTCAATAGTAAAGCACTTCTGATTCAAAAGTGATGCTTTTATCCTGAAGCAGCTAGCTTGCATTCCCCACAGAAGTGGTGGACAGTTCATATGGAAAAAAAAAAAATATATAAATATCCGTTCTTCTGAATTTTGTACTCCACATATATTTCAAGGCTCTGCCCAGCTCTTCTGTATGACTTCAGAAGTCCAAAAAGCTGGAAAACTGCCCAAGTGGTGGAGCCAGTAATTACTTCTGATAGAAACACCAGCTGCCAGCTTCCATGCCACCTGCCCCTCTCCCTTCCACAAAGAAGTGCCACAGAGGCATTCGTGGGGCACAGCAAAGCATATGGTATCCCACTGAATTCCTGGTCAGCCCAGAGGTCTCCGTGGAGCTACAACTGTGGTCTCCTGGAACAGACTGCAGACAGCATTGATATATACCTCGGGCCGTTTTGGCTCCCGCCAAGCCCAGCTCTGTTTTCAGTGGAACGATGCCAGCTCACATATAGGTGAGTATCTGGCTCCGGTACACAAATATGGGGCAATTCTAGTAATTGCCCCATATAATAATTCTAATTTCATCAAAACCTTTTTTTCCATGCTTGAGGCAGAAAAGTGCCTGTATCAACCTATTCCACACAAATATACCTATATGCCACAGTTGAATAATACAACCTTACATGTATGATTTATTAAGACAAAGAATTCTAAATTTTAATAGGCTCGATTTTTAAAAAGTTTATATATAAGCACAAGGTGTGAAATATTTTTCATGTTATATCTTGACAGATAAATTTATGTTCTTAAAATTGTTTCACATATGCAAATTACTCCCTATGGTTGTTCCTGAAAAGTCAATTTCTAAATATCCACAAATGTCTTGAAAAGTAACTGCTTTCAACTTGACTGGAAGAGCAGGTGACCAGGAAGGCAGAGTATATTAACACGTGAAGTGCCTCCTGAATGAGTTTTAACGGTTTCCAGGGTGATCATAATTTATCAGATTCCTACCACCACACACCTATCTACATTATCATCCTAGGCAATGGTTTTGGCAGCTGTTTCCGGAATTAAAAATGCCTAGTTCACACTCATTTTTTGATGGATTTACTATCTATTTCCTAACGTATTATTCTCAATTTTGTTGTCAGAACAGAATATAATTGAATTACAGATTGAATGCTGCTAATAATAGCAATGAAGGAAATTAATAAAATAGCCCCGCATTCTGTTAATGAGATTAGACACCTGTTCATGGTGCCTAAAATATCAGACCTACATGTTGACGCTCCAAAAAGAAAACCGAACAAACACAATTGTTGCATTGCCTTGTGGACAGTGAATTCAGTCTGGACAGCACTCACTCACTTCTCAAACTGACGCTTTTTTCTAGAGTTAATTCTACAAGGGCAACTCAAATACATTATTTTTGGTTTGTATGTTGTTCGTGTGAGAAGCAGCCTGCCTCTGTAAGCTCGACCTATGAAGGCCTGTTCCCAGGGTTGACTGAGGTTTATTTACAGGAGAAGCACTCCAACTGCATTTCATGTAGAATATTTACTCACATGGGCTCCAATTGTGGGTATCTCCTACGAGATCCCAAGTTGTCTTGAACTACCATTGAAACTACTGGACCTGTGTAAATTGGCACAGCACTTGACAAGGCTGGCCAGGTATGAAAGTGCCCCTTCATCCTCAACGTTTGCTGACTGGACGGGCTGTTGCACATAGCGCAGGAACCGTTCCTAAAGCAGTTTGAAAGTCTCCAGGCAGCAGAGACACTACACAGAGGGCAGAAGCGTGTCTTTGCTCTGTACCAACACCTTATTCTTGTAAATCAACTTCTAGGAACAAAGACTAGGTAAGTGTATTATCTGTCTTTCCTATTTTCCTCTGGATTTCCTTTTTTTCTGCCTCAGTGGCAGAACTATGACTGCACTTTACAGTCATCCTTTAAAGTAAGGCACTTTAATACGTGCTTACTGTGGATCTGATTTACTACATACACATGTCAGAGACTGTGTGCAAACCACCACCTTTTTGCTGGTGAAGCAAAAACCTCGGAGTCTAAAGACAGATGAAAGGAAGATCTACTGAACAAAGTAAATACCAATCTGCGGTCTCCTGTAATACCTAGAGAAGGAAAAGGGCTACAGTATGCTTGTGTGCCTCGAACGCAGTTAAATGATGTGCTGCTCTAGAGTAGCTAAGCAAATGCTTTTATGGCACAGGCACAAAGCACGGTCCTAGCCTCACTCCACATAGCAGTCCGATGTATTTTCTAAACAAACGCAGACCGAGATGTGAGCATTGCTCTCTGCTAGTTTACACGCAGCGGGACATGAATGACACAGGCTTCTCAAAACTCCAGACAACAAAAAGAAACTCTGCCCCTGCTTGGGAGTTGCCACCACCTGCTCGGGAAAAGCTGGGGAGCGTAGCATGCACCGAAGGTCAAACACCACAGTCAACGCTGGGCTGACGGCAGAAGGGAAGGCTGGAAACCTCACCCCTATTACAAACACCCCACCTGACACTGCCAGCTTAATGCAGAGCTCCAGGGAATACCTGAAAGGGAAAGATTGTTTCTAAGAAAGCTGGAAGCCAAAAAATGGAAAGATACCATTCCTAAAAAAAGGTTGCCTGGTCGAGTTTGGCCTCTCACTTCCAACCAGTGAACTGCATTAGCTAGTAACACAAAGTCAGCCGCTCCTTTGGTTATCAAGAGATAGAGAGGCTGACTCGTGTAAACCCAAATGGGAGAGACAAGATGGTCCACAAACAAAATCTGTCCTTACAGAGGGTTTGCCTTGAGGAAAATCTTAAAGAAACTTTTGAATTCAGGAGATTTTGGAATTATACCAAGCAACATATTTGGAGGCAGGTCACTAACTAAACACTGGAATTAGATGGGACATGCACACTAAGCAAAGAACCTGGCACGTCTTACACTTCCCCAAGTTCCTGAATGAGCTTCAAGGGCAACACTGAATGGAGAATGCTGCCGTAGCTCAACCCGACACAACTAAAGCATAAATACCTGCAGTTCAGGTTTGCATTTGTCAAGAAAGGTCACAACCCCAGAACCAAAGAGGGCTGAGAAGCCATCCTTGCTGCAGAGTAACTCCTAGATATATCACTTTCACGATAACATGACCTGGATTTTGGAAATGATCTGTGTGGCACATAAAGGACAGATACATGCCTTTTTCAAGTTGCTTTTTGTAATATGATCCAGTGCCGTTCTTCTAGGAACTCTCAAGCAGCTATTTACAATTCAAAGCATTGATCTATTGCAGTCATATGGTGACTGCAACATTTAGCTCTGTGGGTTATTACAGAGGCACTGCTTTTTTTAAACCAAAGGGCATTAGTATCTAGGACACCAGCCAACCCATGTGTGATTAGGTATGAAGTTTCTCAAATGAATCTGTTGTCATGACCAACAAAAAATAAAAACACTGTCCCCGCTTGACAAGGTTCAGCACTATCAGATCAGGTCCTAAAACTGGAAATGAACTAGTTCCCCTGTAAAATGATACATAATGCACCTTGTTGGCAAGATCCTTCAGCAAAGATGCAGAAAAGGTGAAGTGCATTCATTGAAGTGATCAAGGCTGTACTTACTTGCTTTTTCTTGTAGAACCCCTTCTTGTCACAATTTGGAATATGAAAACCCCTGGGACTCAAGACATTCAGGATCTTTAGGTGGTTTAAAGTGTCTTCCATTTCTCTACGACAGGGACCCTGTTAATGAGCATGTTTTAGAAAACACAGATGAAACTTCATTCCCAAATGCTGTCTTTCACACAAGATTTATTAAATCTTTACAGGGCAAGAAGCACAAACCCAAACAAATCCATTAAAACAAAGGGAGGGCTGGATATGTCAAAAGGCAGATCGTTCACAGATAAAATTCTGACTTTCTGCTTCATTCAGGACAAACCAATTTCTAAACACTGAAGGCCCTGTGCTATGCTGAGGCAGAGTGGCATTTCCAGTTGAAATCACAGCCACATATACCTACAGGAAGGCTTAACCAGTATGTAAATCAATCACATATAACATAACTTAGGTTTGGAAAAGCTGGTCTTGCACCAAGTGGGAAAAGAAGAAGGTAGGCAACTGGAAATACACCACTTGGTAGATTTTCCCTAATGCCATTTGATTTTTGTGATTCTGCTGGATTTAAGAGCTTAAATGAAATAGATTTAATTGAAAGCAAGTAGTTTGGCATAATGTGTATATATATATATAAAAATACTGCAACTGTGGACAACAATTCCCAATTTCAACTGGACCAAATGAATGCAGCCATGCAAAGGAATGGTTGCACACAACATTCTCATTAGATAAGTATGTCACTTTTTGCCTCACTTTCTCCATGTGCAAAAGGCTGACAACAATGTAGTGAGGATTAGCTCTAGGACAATGAGCCAAAAAGAACTTCCAGAAGCACTTTTAAGAGCATGTCTCAAACGCCAACTAATTATTTCTTACTGCAGCCCCTCAGGATAAGGGAGTAAAGCATTACGAGCCCCACTCTGCAGTCAGAAAACCAGAGGCGGAGGAGTTCACATTTTGCCAGAGGCCAAGAAGGCAGTCAGTGTCAGCAGTGGGATCAGGATTCAAGAGTTGCAGCCTACAAACTCTGTGCTTAGCTACACTCCTGTCTGGGCACATTACTGACTCAGTCCAGCAGCCCACTTCTTCAGCAGAGACCCGAAAAAATTCCTTTGCATGATTGCATGGGTTTAAAATGTTTAAGTTGCTGTATCAACACAAAGATGCATTTTGTGCAATTTTTAATTAGTGAAGTAATGACATTTAAACTTTCAAGTGGTAATATTAATAGTTTGCTCATGTAAAGTGCCTTTCATGTGCGTGTCTGAAAGCATACAGACTCCACAGTGCTACTGGAGTTTAAATTTTTTTTTTTGGTTAGCAAAGACCTTCCTTGCTGCTTTCATATGTTTTCTTTCAGTATCAATCTCACAAGCTCTAAACATGGCATTTTAAATTGCTGCTCTTATTGGCAGTTCCTTAAAAAACCAAAACTGCTCAGACACGCTGACTGCAAATCACACACGTTCAAAGATTTGGTCCCGAGTTAGGCCTACAAAAAGACCAACGGCTTTTTTTTTTTAATTCTCATTTTGAAGCAGGCTTCCAAAGTAAGAGATATCAATATCAAAAGCTAACATGCAGACACAGCTAGAAGAGCATTTGCTGACAAAGGCACCTGTCCCCAATGGACTTATTTCTGGTTCTTACAGACACCAGCAGCCTTGGTAAGTCAGTGCGCCTTTGCTCATGGGGCCCAACTACCATGTAAGTGAAATGTTCATCCTAGTTAAGACCAGGACCCTATTTCCTCAGAGCTACCAAAGTTCATTCTCTTACTGTAGGCAGTTTACTTCACATTTTTGGGAAGAGGACATGCTGGAAGGCAGATACTGAAGTGTTTTTGCTAGATGGCTGGACATCAGTGACAAACTAAACATGCAGCTTCACCACCCTTGCTGTGTTAACTTGGAGGCCACACGCTCTTCAGACACAACTTTCCACCTCATACAGGTTTCAAAACCTTTTGCAGATGGGAAGCCATGTCTGTTTTCACCACGACTGTTTTGATGAAACTCCAAAGTATATCCAGACATATTTTTTAGGCCGTCTGGCACAGGCACAAGGATAAACACTAGGTTATCAGCCAGGATGTCCAGGGAGAGGAATTATTCTCCCCTCAGATTCACCACACTCCAGCTGCCCTGCAAATCCACTGGGCACAGTCAGTAGGAAGCAATGGCAGCTCATGTGCCCGGGAGACTTTGCATTTACGCAGCAGCACCACGTGACGACTACAAGCAGAGGCAATGTTCAGCATGTCATGCAAACAATGACTGATCAGTCAAGATCCTAATCCTGAACGTAGCCTAAGTTTATGTCCCTTGATTTGTGCTGTGGAGTGTGAACACAGTGCCACTACACTGAATGTGAAACATCTTTTTTCCATTATTGCAACCCAATAATGCTGTTTGCAACCAAATTTAATTATGACACTATTAAACCTGTCCCAAGTCCACTCACACAAATGTGTGATAATTACAGGGGGGAACAAGAACTTTCGATCTCTAAGAAATGACTTAATGAAAATCATACTTGTATCAATGTAAACATCATTGCATTAGGCCTCCGTGTTTTCTGAACATGATCTGCTTGGTCTGCTGATTGTCTGCATTTGCAGATCCAGTAGTTCTACTGGTTAAACAGCCAGAATGCCCTAAATGGCTACAACAATTACCACCATTTAGTTATTTAGTTTATTTATTTATCTTGTCGTATGCACAACATACACATGCACACTCACACACTAGGAAATGCCTTTCCATTTACAAAAGTACTTACGTATTCAGTCTCTTGTTTGGATTCAGAAGAGAAGTTCAGTGTATCCGTACTCTGCGAATCATATTCCACTTTATAGCGCTGCGTATTTTTGGCTTGCACTTTCCTGATGATATCTATTTTGATGTGTGGTGGATGCGATTTGGAATCTGGCACCCTGTGAGAGTTTGGGATGGCCTGATTTTCTATGCTGCTGGTACTCTGGTCTTCTTCTTCTGAATCACTGGAATTTCCTTCGAGAAGAACAAACGCAGTGAAGAGACAATGTTAATCAACTGCCAGCTGCGTCTGGAAGGGCAACAAACCACTAGATTAGTCTACATGCTTAACTTTCCTTTACAAAATAGCGATATATAAAGAGATGAACAACTTAGCATTCTGCACGCATCAGCACCTTTGCTGCCGAACGATGACTTTCGTAACCGAAGCATCCCCTCGCTCCCGGAAGCCTCGCACGGTACCCCACTGCACCGCCGTGCTGGCTGCCCAGCACCTGAAAACTAGCTACCTCCACTTCGCTGCAAGCCACCACCGCCCTGGTTTCTCGCCCCTCGGTGTCCGCTGCAGTTTCG